TATGTGTGTATGTGCGTGTGTGTGTGTGTGTGTGTGCATGTGTGTGTGCGTGTGTGTGTGCATGTGCGTGTGCGTGTGGATGTGTGTATGTGTGTATGTGCGTGTGTCTGTGTGTATGTGTGTATGTGTGTGTAAATGGCCACATGCATGTGTTGTGTCGTGGGCCAAGTCATACTTCCACGGGACTACTAAAAGCTGAACCTGTAGCCTCTCCCACAACAAGGGTGATAATACCCTTTCATGAACCCCAAAAACAGCTGCAGAGTGGTTGTGGCCCCCAAAAGAGGACTCACTGTGTGTGGTGGGAAAGATGTGGGTAGTTTCTTCTTCTTGGCCATGATGGCCACTCTTTCATGATCACCAGCAGGACCCATAGCTATATGGATGACCACACCTTGGGGCCACATAGGAGCGCAAAAGCAGATGCGATCGCAGTCAGGATAGGTAGGTCATGCAGACACCACAGGATGCTCTTTTACCTAGTACTTTTACCAGCAGGAGTACTTTGATAGCTTGTTACAGCACAGAAGACGGAGGCGTCCAAGGCACAGACAATATGCACTGTCCCAGAAAATTGCACCAAAAAATGGCTTACCTTTTGCTAGTAGTACGAGTAGTCGACAAAAACCATTTGGGAGTGTGCAACGTCCGTGTCGAAAGAAGGAAAAGGGGCGCGGTACACAAAACCTGTGGGGTGTGCACAGTGTGCATGTAAGCGCGTCATACATTCAAACATAAGTCGCATTGTCCATGTCCTTTTGCAATGGCTTATAAGCCGTGCACTCCGTGGGTGTGGGTGTTTGTGGGTGCTTTTGCTGATGTTGTTGGCAGGCCATGCATGCAAAAAAAGCGACACACACCGCACGAAGTGCCTGCAAGGCAGCATTGGACCAGACTCACCTTTGCAACCTAAAATGAGGCGTGTGCGGGTATCTCACCGAAGGCGGAGAGACTGCCGCATACAACCAGACATTCGATGGTTTTCATACATTCGCAAAAAATTTCGGACATGAGACCGCACACAACAATGTGGCAATGTACACGAAATTTTAAATGTGGAACAATGCTTATTGTTGGAGGGTGCTGACCGCCTCGCAAATACAAGCAGCTGACATGTACGGTTTGCAGCGAAGATGAAGGATCCAACTGCCATAGTTGTTGGGGCATACGTGCATATGCGCGTTCATGTTTGTGGGTACAACTAAATATATATTTTTCGTCTACTTGGAAGCCATATAGGGGAACTTATCGTGGGTAAGCATATGCTTTAAGTTGCGCGCAGCCTGAAAAGCATCATCAGTGCTGCTCTGAGTAACATAACAGCTTAAACGCATGATTTGCAGTATTATGGTATTTCTTTGATTTGCTTACAGGGGCGCCGCGCTGCTGCTTCATATGTGGTCGTAGACAACGCCTGCGCTTTGGCTGGCGGCGGCTCTGCCAGCTTTTGAGGACAAGTTTTATCCGAATATACGGTGCGTAAGTTATGTGTTCGTTTCAACGCATGCAGCTAGACAGCAGCATCTCAGCACAAGCGTTGCCATCTTAGCTGCGCGCCTAACCTGCGCGTTCGCTTGCCATAGTGATGGGATTTGGGATAAGGATTCATTAGTTCTTTTAGGGGGCTTTTGAGAGCTTTGGACCATGCAGGGAGTCGTAGGTGCATTCAAATCGCTAAGCCTGCAGCAACCCACAGCAGCACATCATGGGCACATCAGCACAATCTTGCAACGACATGTTGTGGCATCAACAAAATTTCGCGGATCATAGTTCATGTATAAAGGGCAAGCGGAAGGAGTGCGCATGGTTTGGGTAGATGGGCTTGTGGGAGACGTAGAAAGGGCCTGTGGTATTGAAAACTGCCCCGTCCAGCATGTGATTCAACATGTCAGAAATCGTAACAGATTGCGTTAGTGAGAAATTTTGGGGCAACACGGGAAGGGTGGTTTCCTGTAGGGTTTTGGGGAGTACACACGTTAGGAAAGAATGGGCTATTGCAGCGAAGCAACCCCCCAGATGAGTGCTAAAAACGGTGCATTAGAACATTCATATTTGAAGCTTAGCCTAACGTTGTCCTTGGCCTCCGACTGCACCCACTACCCTCCAGAGAGTGGCTTGGAGCTTCGAAGTCGAGGAATGTACGTCATACATCGCTACAAGGTGTGTATGGATAGGGAGGGTCGGGGAATTGGGGCTGGGAGGGTTGGGAGGGTCGTGGCACGGGAGTTGGCGGGGTATGGGGGTTAGGGAGGGTCGGGGAATTGGGTTGGGATGGTTGGGAGGGTTTTTAGGGTTTTAGGGTTTTAGGGTTTTGGGTTTAGGATTTTAGGGTTTTAGGGTTTTAGGGTTTTAGGGTTTTAGGGAGTACACACGGGGGGAAAGAATGGGCTATTGCAGCGAAGCAACGCCCCAGATGAGTGCTAAAAACAGTGCATTAGAACATGCATATTTGAAGCTTAGCCTAACGTTGTCCTTGGCCTCCGACTGCACCCACTACCCTCCAGAGCGTGGCCTGGAGCTTTTCGAGTCGAGGGACGTACGTCATACATCGCTACAAGGTGTGTATGGATAGGGAGGGTCGGGGAATTGGGGCTGGAAGGGTTGGGAGGGTCGTGGCACGGGAGTTGGCGGGGTATGGGGGT